TGGATAAATAAATAAATAAATAAATAAATAAATAAATAAATAAATAAATAAATAAATAAATAAATAAAGCAAGCAAGCAAGCAAGCAAGCAAGCAAGCAAGCAAGCAAGCAAGCAAGCAACCTTGTTTTCAGAGCACCCCTTATAAAACAATAAATTCATGAGACATATAGTAGAGGTTAATAACTTTCCAAACATATATATATATTGTTTATTGTTTGATAAGGGGTGCCCTGAAAACAAGGTAGCTTGCTTGCTTTATTATTTATTTATTTATTTATTTATTATCATATAGTATATATATTATATGATGAGTATAATATGTATATGTTTATATATTTATATATTATATGACGATGGTCGTATAATAACATACCCAATGGGGAACAATATCCTTATTTTATAAGTTTAATTTAAAAATCTGTACAATCTGCTGGTACAAACATCTCAGAAGTTGGAGAATGCAGGAGAGACAAAAGTTGTGATAAAGCACATGCCTTGTGCTTTTAACGTGACCTGTGTTGTCTTTCAGCACAACACGTGTGAGCAGGCCGCGTTCTGTCCCCTTGCACAAGCGTTTTGAGATACTGAGGCTGCCGTTCCATATGTGCCTGGAAATAAACCACATTGCTGTTACTGCTGTTAACCTTGCAGTCAATCCCTGCATTTTAGGAAAGTGCTGAATATTTGTGACTTGTCATCCTCTGTGCTGTTTTGTTGTATTTGCTGTTTCCATAAAAACATGCTTTTGTAGTCATCCTCTGTGCTGTTTCGTTGTATTTGCTGTTTCCATAAAAACATGCTGCTATCAAGCCAACCCTGCAAAATGGCATGATTTTACCCTCTGAGCAGATCAAGAGCAGATTATTGGCTGTGTTTATCATCTTGCAGGCATCCAGGCTGCATAAAGTGACTGAACAGTTGCTATTAAGGCAAACAATCTCACACCCAGTTCTGGCGTTTGTATTTAGGGAATATTCCTACCTGAACCCTTGGAGGGGCTCCTTCTGTCAGGGGATATATGGAATCAGACGGTCCACTGGTTTACATCCGGAGAGAACAGACTCACATTTTCCCCCTCTCCCTCTCTTGGTAAAACTACATTTCATTCAATGAAATTGACGAGCCATGGATTCAGAACAGATAAAATATTTCTTCATCCAACACTTAATTAATTAAGGTACTAATGTTAGATAGGAAGTCCTCTTATCAGTTTGTGATTGATATTAAAGCATTAGGACTAAAGTGAAATGGAGTTAATTCATATTATCTTTTAGTGATAAGCTTGGCAATATTCCAATCAATGTAGTAACCGGTCCTGAATCAAATTTGGACCGGGATCAATCTGATGTCTTTTTACTTCTATGAAAACAAGAGTTGGCTGGGGTACAAGGCGGCGACTTACAAACCCACGTGCAGCCCAATCCTAACCACATTTCCTTCCTCCTTCTAATCGCATCCCCTGCAGGAGGTGGCTGAAGTTATATGAGCACTTGCTTAATTGAATGCAGGGGGATCTGGAAACTCAAGTGCGGCAGTAAGGGTTTGGCGCCAAACGAGGAAGAAGGCATGGGGTTTAAAGCCACCATTTAACCCTAAACAAATAATTTGACACGTTTCCAATATGGGCATATTGCCTTGGACAGAATCTCTCCCAAGAGTACAGCCGACTTCGTCAGATACCAGTCTGCCAGATAAAATGGCTCTGCGCAGGAGGCATGCTGTGGGTTTTGCTGCAATAGCTTGAACACAGCTTGCCCCCCAACCCCAAGGGCAACGATTTTACGGATATGCTGGATAGCTCAGTGGTTAGGAGTTCGATTCCCCACTGGCTCTCCTTAACAGGGGTTGGACTCCATGACCCCATAGGATCCCTCCCTGCTCCGCAGTTCTAAGATCGTTTTGTTGGCTGCCTAGCCCGGTGGTTGATGTCTTCTGACTGCAGAGCCGACGGTTGGGGGGTTCAATTCCCTCTTGCGCCTCCAGGGCTGGACTCCCACCCTGCAGAGAGGGTCCCTTCCAGCTCTCAGGAGGATGAGGAGGATCCAGATCGGTGCAGCAAAACCCACCGTCCGCTTGGGGAGCAGCAGCACCGGCCGAGACCTGCGCGCCAAAGTCACCTCCAGCGGAGGCAAAGCCGGCTAAAGCGCGCGCCTGCCTCTGGATCGCCTTGGAGAAGCTTCCCTTCCTTCCAGGGCTTGCTTCCCTCCGTCGCTCCCCCCCCAAACCTCGGGATCGGG